CAAACCAAGATCACCTTATAAAAATCAGTAGTATTGGCTTATATCAGTAAAAAACAAAAAGAAAATAATATATGATTAACATTATCAACCAAATTATAGGGTAGGTAAGAATTAATCTAACAAAAAAAAAATGTACAAGAACTTCATGGAAAAAAATATTTAGGATTCCCTCAAGGTACATAAAAGAAAATTTAAATACCTGGAAATGGGGTGGAAAAATTTGTAAAGATCTTAATTCACCCAAAATGAATATAAAAATTCAATAATATTCCAATAAATTTTTAATAAATTGTGTGCAGCTTGTCACATTTATCCTCAAATATGTAGAAGACTAAATATCTGCAAATAACTATGTCATTTGTAAATAAGGCAAGCCATAGCAAAGGACTTTTCATACCAGATATTAAGATATATTACAAATCCATAACAATAAATAAAAGGTGGAGTTCTTCCACAGAACAGATAAAGACTAGTGGAAAGAAAAGGACCAGAAGGCTCAAAAACATACTCAAATATTAATCAAAACTTTATATATGGAAAAGGTAACCCCACAAAACAAAGAGGAGAGGACAAAATTTCTAAAAAATCTCACCTTTATAGAGAAGTTAGCTGGATTCAAGCATTATGGCTTAACCTTTATACCTTTTACAAATGTGGACTTCAGCTATATTAAAGACTCCTATTGTAAAGTTAAAAGCATTGTCAATAAAAGAAATTGGTAGGAGAATAACTTTGTCATTAATCAAAGAAATGCAAATTATCAACAAGATGATAGTTTAAATCCAAAAGATTTGAAAAAACAACAAGGATTGAAATAATAGAAATACAAGACAGAAAGGATAAGGAAATGAGCCTCCTTGTGCACTCCTTAGAAGATGCAGGCATTTCAGAGAGCAATCTTGCAGTGACTAGGGCAGTACCTATAAATCTTATGTCCTAGCAGTTGCACTTTAGTGTGAACAACCCAAAAAAAAACTTGCAAAGGGACCCATGCAAGGGCATTTGTTGCAGTGTTCTATGTAGTAGAAAAAGAATTACAGGCAGTTTGGGTGGCCATCACTAGATGAAAGGATAAGTAAACCACAAGAGATTCACACTCTGCGTTTCTACACCTCTCTTCACAACGGTAGCCAGGACCATGAATAGATTTGTAAAACATGGTTTTGAGTTGAAAATAAAAGAGAGAGGAGGGGAGAAACAAAGCAGGGTGAGAGAGAAAGATATAGAACTACATCTTAGCATAATATTGTTTCTAAAAATAAAACAATTTACACAAAATACCACAGTCAGTGTGTTTTGTAAGGGACAGAATGCCTGATGAGAAAATAAAGTAAAACAAAACAAAATGAAATAAAGCAAAAAGAGGTCTTACAGAGAACCATGTGCCAGAATCTGAGTGTGACAATCAGCTGATCTGAGAATCAAGAACACCAGAGTTCAACAGCAACAGAGGAATGCTTCCTGATATAGGCAGATAGTCTTTCTCAAGAAAGGGGAACCCAAAAAATAACTTTAGCCCCATCTACATTCTAAAATATATGGGCAGTAATGGTGAAAGAAGGCAGAACAAAACAGAATTACTGGGGAGGGTGGGTCTACAAGAAGAATATACGTGACCATGGAATTGATCTATATTTGTGAACATCAAATCACTTTTTGCCACATGTTGAATCCTAAATCTAGCTGTATATTAGTCACTGGTAAGAAATTTGTGGTCATGGTCTGCACATTTGTAATTTGAGTTAACTCTCCCTGATGATTCTTTCACAAACAGCCCTGCATCAGAGCACGGCATCTCAGAGACATGCTATGGCCCTATGATTACAAGTGTGTTTTCTTAGACTCCAACACCAGTGGTACCTCCCCAGACTAGCGTGACAAAGGGGATTTATAGAAGATTAGAAAGTCTAATTTTATAATTAGGATTACTATTTAATAGTACTGATCACACACACCTGTTAAAATACCTTGATTTTGCTGACAGGAAGACCAAAACAAATTTTTTTAAAGTGCTCAGTGTCACATTGTGATGACAATGTCTCTGTGTGAATATTTGTTTTAGTTAGGTGTCCCTTACTTTCTGTTTTTGGCTTTTCTATACTTGTATAGGGCAGACTCAAAGAGAAGATTTAATATATATTTGCAGACTCAAATAGAAGATTTAATCAACAATAAAAAAAAGAGTAAAGGAACACAGTAAAGCTTAATCAGTCCAGAATCCTTCACCTTCTTCTGGGCTACCTTGCTTCACTAAGTGCAGGCTTCACTAAAATCAAGCACACAGGTATCTCTGGAAGCCAGGCCCTCAGCTGTGAAGCACACAGCAAGCCCTCAGAGACAGTACTTGTCTTGCACATTTCTCCTCTGTGCTGACGAGGGTGGTAGAGTTTGTCTGACAGCAGAGGTGTGACTCTGACACAGTTTAAGATTGGTGGCATAATAAGAAGACGGTAAGCCAAGGAGAAAGTGTGAATTAGAAAAAGAAATTATTTTTCTCTTTCCTGTAGCTGTAAATAACCTCACACAACTCCTTACTTTCAAAGCTATGGGCCAAAGTGCTAGGGAAGAAGAGCTTGCTGGGTAGCTTTTGTTTTGAAGAACATCTCACCAAAGAGCTAAATTTGCTAAAGGTTTAGTTTTCAAGCTTTTTTTCATCTAATGAAACTGGAAGTTCTCTTGACTCTTTAATCTCAGGCTGCAGATATTTACTTTCCCTCATCCTTCATCCCACCCACCACCAAAAAACAAGCAAGATGTCCAAAAAAGGAAAGTAATTCTTCAGGTTGGAGAGATACATAGAAAAAGAAGCAAAGGAGGGAGCTAGTTTTGTTGCTGAGAAATATAGGGACTGAAAATGGAAGCAGGCAGAGAATGGTAAATCATAATCAAGGAAAGGAAGAAAGGGAAGTTGGTGGCAAAGACTGTGCTAAATAACAGAGCCTCTTGGAAACTGAGAGGTACCTGAGAACTTGCAACTCAAATTGTAGTCAAACATTACCTGAGAGCTTGTTACAAATTCAGAATCTCAAGCCTCATGCAGACCAACTGAGTGAGGATATGCAGTTTAGCAAACCACTGGCTGATTTGCATTCTTATTTGATTTTTAAAGCATTGAACTAAAGACACTTTCTAATTTTAAGCTCCCAGTAAGTTAATAAATATATGATAACAAAACCAGGAGGCTTTAAACATTCCTACTTGACAATTTAGTTCTTTTAACATACACACACACACATACACACACACACAYAYACACACACACATATTACAATGACTATACTAATAACTTTTTTTGAAGGTAACATCAATTGTCTAAAATCTTAAATTAAGCTTCTCTGTGAATGTCAGATCCAAGTTCTCTGGGCCCTGATAGAATTGGATGAATAGTATAAAAACCACCACTGCCCGACAGCTGTTTGGAACTCAGAAACTCCCGATGCATCCGGCTCATGTCCGAAACCTGCTTGTGAAAAACTTTCTTCTACTATGATGACACTATGCTGCAGCAGGGCCATCTGTATCCCTACCCCAGAGAGAATTTTTTGTGGTGCACCAAGTTTTGTTTATGGCCAGACTGAAATACAAGCTTGGCCTGATCAGTATCAGAGAAACCCATATGCAGACTATGTAAGCAAGAGGAAAATGACCTCAAGGGGCACCCACTGCAACAGTACATAAATAAATTGGCAGATGTGTCAACTATGCATATTAGTCCAGGAGTGCAGTTCTTTGGGGACTGAAGTCCAAAGACAAAGACATTTGTGGGTTGCTGGTCAATCCGGAGCATTTCTTCTAATTTTTTTGGATGTGTTTTTGACAGGAGCTTAAGGGCAGTTCAATAAATTAAAATGTATTTACATGGCAATGAAGAATTATCTTGACACACAGAGAGTTATTTAATTACCAAGGTGCATTGCGTGCTGCTAAAGTTAAGACTGTGTCAGCCTTTCTGGGACAAATCTTTATTTTCAGGGCCATGTGGCTCAGCCAGGAATGATCCCCTGGGTTGGAGCTTGTCATTTATAGAAGAGGAGTCTCCTCACTGACCCCCATTTCCATAGACAGCTCTAAACAGATCGGTAATCTCAATGTCAGACATCATGATGAAGTCAGTGCAGCCAAGGCCAAATGTCCCCCTTCAGGGATGTGGCCTCTCTCTCAGAGGAATTGTAAATGAAGTCATACCCCATTTGCAGTCTTCAAAGCATGTCAGGGTTGCTGTCTGTCTGAGTGACATTCAGAGTGTTGTCTTGAGACATCATAAGATAGGTGTGTGATAAAAGTCTATGTCCACATTGGCAGCATCAAAGCACAATGACCTCGTATTAACAGGGACAGGGACAATTTCCCCAAGCTACACACCATCCAGTCCTATGGGGAAGAAGATGCCATTAAATCCAAGCACCAAAGGCTTTCTAAGAAAGAGAAGATAGGAATCTGGAAGCTCAGGGTTAAAGTCTTAGCTTAAGTCAGATATGTAGGTGGGGGGGAAGCACTTTAGCCCTCCTAGATCTTCTTCTACTTCCAAGTTCAAGGGTTGGTAATCGATTTTGATGAGAGACACTATTGGAAACAGTGTCTTAAATCTTCCCTTTTGCTTATTCAAGCAGTGACTTAAATCTTCCCTTTTGCTTACTTGGGTCAAATAGGCCCAAAATGAAAATGAACAGAACTGAGTCCACAATTAGAACCAATAGGTCATTATGGTTGAATGAAAGAACTGTGTCCTGGAAGTCAGGACACCTGGGTCCTGTATCTGACTCAACCCCTTGTAAGATGTGAGTCCTGGAGGAAGTCACTTTACCTCACCAATTTGTATTTTCCTAAAAAACATGAGGGTTTTAATCGCTAAGGAATTCGTTTCATTCCTAAGCTAAAATTCTATTTAATTCCATTTCTAAAAGCTATAACTGTTTCCTCATCTACTCCTGAACAGTAGTGTCCTTCCAGTTGATTTTAAGATTTCTAGCCACTGAACCATCTTATGTTCATGCCTTTAGGTCCAGACATCTTGACTTTGGTGGTGGGATCTGACATCAGCCACTGTCCYAATACCCCCCGGCCCACCTGCCGTGGCTATCTACATAAGAGGACTCACTCTGGCTTCATGAAGGGTTGGAGGAAGAGGTGGTTTGTGCTGAAACATGATGGCTGTCTCCACTATTACAAACATAAAAAGGTAACTGAGGGTATGGRTAAGGGCTGGCCCCGGGAGAAGAACAAGAAGCAATAGGCAAAGCAGTCCTATGAACTATTCTGTGTCCCAAGTATTCTCTTGTTTGGTGCCATGTTGCAGGATTCTGGAAACAGTGTTCTCTTCTGTGACTTTTTRGAAACTTTTTCTTTCTTCAAAAGCCTGGAGAATTATAATTTATTTTCTCTGCTACTGCATAAATCAAGGCTGGCATAAGTTTCTATCTTGTCTGCTCCTATTTTCATCTTCTCTGTGAAAACTTTCTTATCAAAGCCAAGAAAATAAGAACCAAACTGAATATTTAGAGAAATCAAGGTGGACCTAAGGCAAAGCACAGCTGGTCCGGACTGAAGAGCTCAGGCACTGTTCCCTGTGTGATAAGACTCGGATGTCATTAATGCTCCTGAGGCAGAGCACCAGGAAAGTGGCCTGGAATACCTTCTTTCATTTTCCAAAATCTCTTAGGTGATGTCTACCTATAGGTGAAAATTGGAATCATCTAGGGAATATTYTCAAAATATGCAAGCTTAGTTCTCCTCCCAGATGTTTCTCATTTGGCAGGTCTGGGATGGAGCCCAGGCCCATACATATGGGGAAAGCATTTCAGGTGGTTCTAATGTGCAGTTCACATTTTGTCAGCATAAGTGTTTTATCAGCCCCATGAAATCCAGTGTCTAATACTTTTTAATCAGATGCAAACATGGTAAAAACAGAGGTTTCACGTGGACATCTCAATTTCCAGTTTCTCTTGAAATAGTCTGGGTGTTGGCAGGAGCTAGATGGACTCTTTTTCCTAAGAAGTGCATACACTCTCCCATCTGTTAAAGGACCACCTACAGGCTTCACTTTGACATTATTTGTGAGTTCAAAGCAGGAGTTTTGATCTTTTACCTCATTCATTACACAATCTTATTTTTTCTTCCTTTAATTTACATTACCCTAGTTTCCTAACTTTAAGTTGTACATATATATATATATATATATATATATATATATGTATAGTATTAATTAGTATTAATAGTATTAAATAATAGCTAGATTTTAATGTGTATATATGTATATACAATACATATATATGTATTGTATATACACATATATATGTACATACAATATAAGCCATCTATTTGTGACACAGAACATGGGGTGCTATACTTTCATGGAAATGTGAGCCCTATAAACTATTCTGAAAAACTTTGTCTCCCTCCAGTGCAGGGAAATAAAAATTTTCTCTAGTTAGGATGAGAAATGATGATCTATCCTTGATTTCTGTTGTCTGAGTGCTAAAGTGGAACAGACCAGAAGTTTCCAGTCTAGGTGTTATTTCAGAAGCCCCAGAATTTTTCAAAGTACACAAACTGTCTCCTCTCTTCCTGAATCTTCAAGAGTGGTCCTTGAATTTGTGCATTTTTTTCTAAGCTTTCAAGTTGATTTTGATTTGTAGCCTAGGTGAGTTTCACAACAGCTCATCTAAGCTTGCCAATTGTTCTTTCTTGAGATTGGTATCCTGAGATTATGTACTTACTGCCTTTGATGGATAATTTGGTTTCCTCTTATAAAATAGTATTAATATTATTAATAATATTAATTAATAGCTAGATTTCAATGTTATTTTCAGCAAAATAAATACATAAAATAACTTTAAGTCAGGCACTCCTTGTTTGAAGATTCCTGGTTTTTGAAATTCAGATGGCATCTGGAGCCAATATTTTAGGTCTGGGTTTGCCAGGCAGTGGTCATAGGACTGGTGTTGCTTGCAGGTGTTGTGTTTGGCTTCCATAGTGTTTTCATAAATTTTTTAATTAAATGAATTCAGGTGAAGCATGTGATGTGCAATTGGCCATAATCCCCACAACTCCTCATTTTCTTACCCTGAGCCCAGTCATTTGAATTACCCACCAGGCCCTGTTGGGATTTGAGGGTATAAGTTCTGGGGTAGAACTTATGTGAAAAAGTTGGAACTTTAGTGATAATAATAGCTGCTGTTAAAATATGTTTTAATTGCCTCTAGTTTTCTTTTGAAAAAAATTGTGGATTTTATAGTTTGTACACAAAAGAAAAGTTATCATGAGCAAATGCAACTGTGACTGTCATTGCCACAATAGGTATCAATATGGAGATGGGAATACAGCTTTATTTTGTTATAAAGAGCCAAAATCAGATCCCTTGTAGTGCTCCAAATTCCAGAATACATTGTCTGATCTTTAGAATAGATAGCAATGACTCAGAAGAGTTAATGGAGCATAAGAAGAACATAACAGAATAAATTAGCAGAAAATGAACCTGGCCACACAGTATTCATTCATGCAGCAAATATTTATTGAGTGCTTTTTATTAGCCAGGCATTATGGAAGCACTGGGAAGGTATCAAAACAGACACGAAGCCTGCCCTGTTTGTGCTTATAGTTCTGTGGAAGAGACTGTTACTAACAAATAATCACACAATTGTGATTAGTCCTATAAGTAAAATTATAGGGAGAAGAAAATTGCAGCAGTCTGGATGGAACCAAAAGACAGCCTCATAGAATGCTTTTAAACAAGGGAAGTTCAATATAAAAAGTTCTTAAACTATAATAAAAGAATAAGTATAAAATATAAGAAAATTCTATGTGACACCAAGACAGCATATCCAAGAAATGACTAACTTGGAAGGGGGATCCCTCTCTAAGATTTGGGATTCATATCCCATTAGAAAATCAGTTTAATTCACAGGATGGCAGAGTTGACCACTTTGTCAGGCCATTGTTAAGTCTGTAATCACAGGACAAACAGAAAACAACCCTTTCAGGCACAGATCAGACAGGCAAATCTCAGCTGGTTGTTGCTAGATAGTTATGCAATGAGAATGAGAGTGCTCAGGTGGCAGAAGGCCTAGAGCATGAGGTGTGCATTTTTAGAAAGACTTTGTCAAGAAGTGGTGGTCTGGAAAGGGCTATGTGGGGACGGGGGGCAGGAAACCTAGGGGAAGAGGGAAATGAGTAGAGGAGATCAGGACATCAGGATGGGCTAGAGACCTACAGCAAAGGAAATCCTTATGGAGACAGTTGCAGGAAGGTGATCACCAGGCCAAACTAGAGCTGCAAGGTTTCAGGAGCACAGCGTGTTCTGGGTGCATGGCTGAGACAAAGAACCCCAGGTTGTTCATACATTCACACTGTGTACCCACCCTGCTGCAGCTGAAAGAGCAAGATCATCCCTTCCCCCTGCAATGCTCCTCTAGCACCCTCTACTGAGAAATCTTAGCACTATGCTAAATGTAAAGGAAAATGTAAATGTACTGTAAATGTCAAGGAATTCAGTCCTTTACTAGGTAGCATATTTTAAGAGTTGAATTTGAACAGAGGCTAAGAGGCAATAAATTGACAATTGGAACAAAAGTAAAATGAATGGTCTAGATAAATTAGGATGGGGGATATGTAATGAGTTCCTTTTCAAGGATATAACATTTTAGATGATACCCGAGGGCTGAATAATAATTACCCAGTTGGGATGAGCCTTCTCCAGCCAGGAGAAAAAACATGTGTGCAGTCTCCAGGCTAGAAAAAGGTGTGTCATATTTGAGGACATTAGAAAAAGTCTAGTGTAGCTAAAGCCAGAGTGGAAGGTGAAGGGCAGAAAAAGAAAGTTAGGCATAGAAGGTAGGCAAGAAACCAATCACGCAGGCYCTGAGACAGTAAGAGGGACTTTTTCATATTCTTCTAACCACAATAGAAAGCCATCAAGTGTTTTAGGTAAGGCGATTTTCAAAAGCTCATTCTGACTTAATGTTGAGAATGAATTGGAGGGTGATAAGCGTGGAATGAAAATTCCACTTAGAAAGTCAGTGCTTTCTAGGCAAGAGGCAACAGTCTTGACCCAGGTAAGAGTATTTTACTAGACAGATTTCCAGATATCTTTAAGAACCAGAATTAATAAGATTGGGTAATGGATTAAATTTGGTATCTTAGTCTTTCAGGACGGCTATAACAAAATACCATAAACTGGGCACCTTATAAGCAATGGAAATTTATTTTGCACAGTTCTGGAGCTTGAGAAGGCTGGATTCAAAGCACTAACAGCTTCACTGGCTTTTGAGAACCCCCTTCCTGCTTCATAGGAGACCATCTTTTCACATGTCTCACATGGTGAAAGGGACAAGGGATTCTTAGAAGTCTATTTTGTAAAGGTCTTAATCCCATTCATGAAGGCTTCACCCTAGTGACCTAATTTCCAAATATCACACCTCCAAATGCCTCTACATTAAGGAACGAGGTTTCAACACATGAATGTGTATGTGTGGTGACAGGGATATCCCTTCTACCACTTAGAGAAAGGGTAGATAAGGATGGTTCTGAAGTTTTTTCAAAAGTTAAGTGGTTGGAACTATTGGAACAGGAGCAGATCACAGAAGTATAGAATGAAGAAAGGTTAGTAGTTCAGTTTGAATCGCGTGGTATTGTGGTTGACATTGTGGGTGCCCTTTTTACATAGGCATTTGAATATTCAAGACTGGAGCTAGGAAGAAAAATTGAAAAGTGCGTGCATGTGTGTGTGTGTGTGTGTGTGTGTGTGTGTGTGTGTGAGAGAGAGAGAGAGAGAGAGAGAGAGAGAGAGAGAGAAAGAGAGAGAGAGATTATATACAAAGATATATAGAGATATTATAGTATGCCATGTAGTGAGTGTGTGTAGTGTTTAAAGTCACAGAAATTGATGCCATTGCTAAGGGAGAGAATGTAAAGGAAGAGAGAGAGAGAGAGCCCTTAACATAAGCAGAGGGTAGGCAGAGAAGGAGAAAATAGGAAAAATGATTGAGGGGGTAGCCAGAGAGGGATAAACAAAACCTAGGAAAGCATGTGTCATAGAGCCACGAGAAAAACTGAAGTTTCAGGAAAGAAGGTGATTACTGTTTCCCCATGCCGAAGAGGGACCATGTAACAATGACTATTGGAGAGCATCTGTTCAATTATGCATCACAGAGGTCATTGGTAATTTTGGCAAAAGCAGTCTCG